TGTATGTATGTATGTATGCACGTATACATACTGCATATACTCTATAATATGGGAGCTGTATTCTCCATTGAGGCGTGAACCTGAATGAGCCCCCGTGCCCGATCAAGAACCTTCCTCCTGCCTGAGCCCGAGATGGTTCTGGCTTGTGTCGCTCAGGGTGGTGTCCTGTTCCCGATGAACGGACATGGCAAGATTTCCGTGTGGCATCGGGTTATTTTAGATTCGGACTGCTTTGGTTCGAGTCTCGGTGATTTTAAGGTTTATCCACGGAAGCGATACTGTAAAGGAAGCCCCAGCTCAACCCTTTGCACTGCCAATGCTCAGGTCCAGTTTGTCCACCACGAACTGGCTTGAGAAGCTTGCGGAGCAGCTGGCAGAAAAGCAACCGTTTTCCACCTCAGCTGCCAGCGTTTCCCCGGAAACCTAGAGTCCCCAGAGCCGGAGAACAGCAAAGACAACAACTTATGTACCTAACGTATAAACATCCCTAAACTCTACACCCAGGAAGCCTTAATCTTAAACCCTACAGCCTGAAATCCCGAACCCTAAATCCAAAGAGCAGTAAACTCCCTTAACTCATCTTCCCCTAAACCCTTAGGTGCAGTGCCTCAAGGGCCTTTTGCTTCGTGGGTTCGACTCAGGGAGCCTTTTGAGATTTCCTCCCGGTCGGACCCTTCGCTGCGGTGCACGGATCTTTTCAATATAGCCCCTTAAAGCGCCCTCGATTCACTCACGCCTTGGTGGCTCAGTGCCCAGAGACTGGGTCCCCTCGAACATAATCGGGGGCCTAGGCCTAGGAGAAAAAGGACCATGTGCTTTGGCCTGTTTGGGGCTGCACATCGTGATTCGGGGGGCTAAGGAGAACCTTGCGGCACCCAAAGCAACAGATCAACAATGACTTATGCGCTTCAACTGCTTCGGATGCCTGAATGACATGCCATACCTTAGCGACTGGCCAACTTAGGTGCATTTCGCCCAAGCCGTTCTGCTTACCGCCTTTGCAGAAGCTGTCAGGAAAGCTGACAGTTGTTTGCTCGAGCAAGGCACTCTGAGAGCAAGGAGTGCTGATCAAAAGATGTGGTCGCTGTTCAGCGAGTTGCAAACTCACTGAAATGAGCAGGCACCCGAAAAGCCTAAAACCCTAAACCCTAAACTCCAAACCCTCAACTTGTGCTCCCGGGCTCATCATTTTCGTGGCCAGGCTTGCAGGGAACTCCGGATTTTTCGAAGTTTCCTGGTGCTGAAACGAAGCGATGCTTTGCCAGGCTGCTCGTAGGGGCGTGGATGCCATTGTATGACAATCGGGTTTGGGGTTGAGGGTGAAGCGCCATCGCAGTATGATTGGCTCACGGCTACGACGAGGAAGACTGAAGACTCGTTGGAGGGTGCTCGGCCCTAAATGAAGTCCTGAGCCCCAAAACCCTACACCCATGGCTCATCCAAACTTGGAAAATTCTGACGGTTTAGGGTGTAGGGTTTAGGGAAGAGAAAAGAGAGCCTTCAACAAAAAGCCAAAAGAATCCCAAGCCCCCGCGCTGGCCGTGCGCGCCTTCATGGGCCATTGCCGTTCCCTCAGCGGCGCCTTCCGAACCAGGCCCGGGACGGGCCCACGGCTCATTCTCTGCGGAGTAGTGGTATAGGAGCCTGAAGAATTACCTATACTATTTTGGGGGTTCCTTATGATAATTATGGTATAACGGGCTCCCAAACCCTATTCTAATTATTGAGGCCCCTATATAACTAGTCATTCAGGTATCTTGGTTAGAGGAAGTTGTGCCACGGGCCGCATGAGCAGAGTCTCTGCCAATTCTGCCACGTCGTCCGATTCTCAGAGCCCAGTGATTTTCATTTCTCTTGGAGGATCATGGGACTTAGTAAGTATTGTTATACGTCCCTTAATTGGGGTTATAAGTATAGTTGCCCTAATTTACAAGTCCCATGATCCTTTAAGTGCAGTTCTGCATGCTTTTTGGCTTTCGCTAGGCTTCGTCAGTCGTCAGACTTACAGATACTTACGGCTATTGTTCACTGCAATAAGACACTGTAAGATGCCAGCAGGGCTTGCTTGCTGGGCGGCATCTTCGCCTGGGCTTCCAGAGGAGCCGGAGTGGATGTCGAATTGGTTTGGACTAAACCCACAACCCTAAACCCTAAACCCTAAACCCTAAACCCTAAACCCTAGTTTGAACTTGAGGCTTTCCGCTTTGGTTGGTTTCGGGTTTTTACACTTTCGGTGTAGCGCTTGGTGCTTCTACTTAAAGGATCATGGGACTTAGTAAGTAGGGTTATAATTAGGGTAACTATACTTATAACCCCAATTAAGGGACTTATAACAATACTTACTAAGTCCCATGATCCTCCAAGCACCTGTCATGCCCGCAAGCCCCGGGAACGCACGAGCTCATGCGGCAGGCATCGCGAATCTAACTGAGCTCTCGGTCTGCCCGTTTTGCAACCACGAGCAGAACGCTCGATTGTGGAAGCCTGCCGAAGCGGGCACTTGAAAACACCACCATTCGTTGACGATGTTCAACATGACTCAACAGGAAGAACAAGCCGACAGCTTTCAACACCTCAAGCTTTAAGAAGTCCTTCGAGCCTCAGGGCGATGAAAATCTAAAGCCCTAAGCCCCCGGCCCAAAAAAGCCCTGACTTGCCCTAATCCCTGAAACCTTAAACCCTGAGCTTTAAAAACCCAGCAGAAAACCCCAAGCCCTCAGGCGCCAGCTTCGCCGGAGGCCACCTCTAGAACCCCGAACCCTTAAAGCAACCCCCTAAACCCTAAAGCCTAGAATGCTAGCAAAACCCTCAAGCCCCAAACCCGAAAGCCTAGAACAGCCTTAACCCCTGTAATTCCTAAATCCCTAAAACCCAAAATCTACCGGAGCTGCGTTTGGAGGTCCCCGAATTCCTATGCCTTAAAACCCAAAATCTACCGGAGCTGTGTTTGGAGGTCCCCGAATTCCTATGCCTTACAGCCTCAAAATCTACCGAAAAAAACACAAAATCTACCGGATCTGCGTTTGGAGGTCCCCTCTTCTCCCTCCCCCGTCGGATCCACATGGAACGAAGCCTCGAGCCTGAGCGCCTGGCACGAGGCCAGACAATCCTCGGTTTAGGGTTTAGGGTTAGGGTTTAGGGTTTAGGGTTTAGGGTTTAAGGTTTAGTGTTTAGGGTTTAGGGTTTAGTATAGGAGCCTTAACAAGTACCATACTATTTTGGGGGTTCCTTGTTATAGTTATATAGTATAATATACCCCCAAAGCCCTATTCTAATTATTAAGGCCCCTGCATTAGGGTCTAAGGTTCATTAGCGTGCAGAGTTGTTCGGGATTTAGGGTTCTTGGGTTTAAGGGCTATAGGGTACAGGGTCAGAGTTATCCTTGGGATCGTTTGAGGGGGTGTACGGCGCAGGGGTAGCAGGATTTAGGCTTTAGGGTTGAGGGTGTAAGTATCATCCTTCGTATTTCTTGCGCGTTCTTTTTGTTGTTAGTGTTCTCTGAGACATGTTAAAGAATATCATTGCGGCTCAGAGCAGAGGCTTGAGGGGAACAGGCGCGTGCAGCTTTACGAACTTTTGGCATATCCTGAGATGCTTCCTGAGTTCCGTATTGTGGAAGGTGCACCCTTGGATGCAGAGCCTGCTTGCCTCTCAGCCGCTTCGCCGCTATGATCCTGACATCTGCAGATTGCGCAGCCCGTAACCAGGTAACCCTTGACCTGGTTTTTGTGGAGTACCAATCATTATCATGCACCATGCTGCAGGTCCTCAGCTACAACCTGCTGGCACCAGCGTTTGTCCGACCTATTGACCTGCGAACTGGGGCTGTGCAGCCTTTCGCGGCCTTCGAGTGGGCTTCAGCAGAGGACCTCGAGTGGGAGCTGAGGAGGAAGCGACTGCTCAAACAGCTGGAAAGCTGGCATGCTGATGTGGTTTGCCTTCAGGAAGTGCAGTTTGAGGCTTCGCCGGATGGCTCCTTTGCATTGCCAGCCTGGCTGACGGGGCTTGAGAACTACACCGCATGTATCCCGGCAGAGAAGTACCTGACACTCATCGCAGAGCGGAATGAGCGGGTCCTGGCAAACAAGGTTGCCATTGGCTGTGCAGTTCTCTTCCGAAGCGACCGCTTGATGCAGCCCTCCGACGCGGAGAGTTTTGGAGACCCAAACACCCTGGTCTCGGCATGCTTGCAGGGTTGCCCGGAGTCACCTTTGGCAGCACTGGGGAAGACGGCCTTCTTCTCCGTCCACTTGGATGCCCAGAGCGAGGAGAAGAGGGTTGATCAGCTCCGCAAGTGCCTGGAAAAAGCACGGGCTTTGGGCACTCGGCAGGTGCTCTTCGCCGGTGACCTGAACACCGAGTGCCGTCCCGGCTCCTGCATTGCAGCCTTCATCTCAGACGAAACTCCATCGGAGGAGGAGATGGCCCGTGAGTGCGCATCGGCCTTGCGCATCGCAGGCAGCGAGGACGGCGACGACGAGACCCCAACTGACAGCAAAGAGACGGCAGGGGAAAACGGGGAGCCCTCTTCAGAGCAGCTGGAGCAGTGGCGGCTGCTCTGGCAGAAGGCAGCGAGGTCTCCAGCTGAACACCGCGTCAACCTTTCGCGTGTGCCCACCGGGGCTACGCGTTCGGCCTATGACCACGGGAAAACCGAGGGTCCGTGCGTCACCTGGAAACTGGCGCTCCGGAACGCAATGGGAGCACGCTCATTGTTTTGGTGATACTTCTGCTCGGGCAGAAATAATTCCATACAAGTGTAACCTAGTGCAGAAGCACGCAAGTCGGACCTGCTACTACCGTGCTTGGGCATGTTGTCTAAACTACTAGACTACCTTGCCACTGTCCATTTCAATACAGGATCATTGCACCTGAGCAGAACGTAGATTCGACGTAGATGCCTCAATAACTCCTTTTGACGTGTTTGTACTCACGGCAACTGCCTTCGCCCATCAGAGCCGCTCGCTGGAGGATGAGGGGACAGTATAAGTCAAGTAGGGCCGCACCTGAGGTGACTACTGATGTATACGGTAACTGTTTCCTCCTCAAGCTCAAGTATGGCTGGCCTACATAGAACTTCTCATGAGAACCCCACGAGGATCACATCTTGCACAGCCCCGAGACGCTCCAGCTCCGACAACTGTGGACAACCTTGGAGGCCAACGGAGGGTTTGGTGCCCCAAACCCTACACCCTAAAGTATGTCTTTGGGTTTCGGATTCCGTTCGTCCTTGAAGGGGGAGTGTCCAAGTGAGGCTTCGGGAACTCGCAAGAGGATCACGAAGCGGCTTTTGAAGAAGCTCCAAATCTCAAGTAGTCACACCGAGAGTTAGACGCAGCCTGTAATTCAGCAGCGCAGGAAGATGAGGCGGCCTCTACCAGCGGCTTGCCGAACGGAGAGAACCCGAGCGACCACCTTCCTGTTGCTGCCGTATTCCAGGCCTCAGTCTGCATGAGTTGATGATCTCCCATAGATCCGAAAAGAGCAGGACACATCAGAATAAGTAAATCGCATCTCATGTAGAGTGCCTGCTTCAGGAACCACTTACCCGTGCCAGGTTCATGTGCTTAAATTTTCAGAAGCTCTCACCGGACGTCAGAGCGCTGCCAGGGTAGGATGCAGAATTATAAGGTCGTCGCGCTTTTTAAAAAGCCAGAAGACCTATCACGCGAAGTGTAGAGTTCTTTCTTGATTTTCCGCCTATGCCTTGAAGTGCCCGTGAACCCCATTGCTGGGTCCAGGTTTCAGGCATATCGGGGCTGACTATCAGAGGTATGCGTTGCTGCTTGGGAGCAGCCCGCATCCATGTCTCTGATTCTACCTCCTGATTCCGGAGCTCTGCAGCCTCGACCCTGTAGCGCGTCAACCCTCCGCGAAAGGACTTAGAACCTGAAACCCTGAAGCCTAAACCTCATAACGTTTGGATTTGCCTGGGTATGCGAAATGCCCGTCGATCTTGAGGTTCAGAGCTTGACTACGATAGAGTAGAAAGAGTCATGTGTCCATAATCATCCATCACCGTCACAACCTAGACACACACACACACACGCTCAGAGACATGATCAGAAAGGCATCCGTCAGAAACGGAAACAAGCTGCTTGCTGTCATCTTGTGCACTCAGTCTTCCGCCACCATGCTGCGTATCAGGATGTTGTCAGGCCAGGAGGTGGCGAGCATAGGAGGGCACTGAAGCGGCAGATGAACCTTCTGCACGGAATGCCCCCACGATTCAGGCAAAGACTCCTGTCAGGTGGTCATGTGGTAGATGATTTTGCCGACCTGGACTCGCCCACGGACCTGGAGCTGGTCGTACTTACGTATACCACGGCATCCCAGACGCAAGCAAACGAGTTGGTGGCTGCCGTGGCGAGCGGCTCCACATCAGAGGCCTGTCTTGCCCAATCATCCCACGGACTCTAAACCCTGCAGCCTGCCACCCTGACTTTTCCAGAGATTCCCAGAAACCATGTACTTGGAGCAGGTAGAGGCCATGTTGCAGCGCCCCCAGAACCCAGACCTCTTCGATGTGGACGGCTGCAGCCCACTTCTACAGGCTGCAATCGAAGGCCCAGGCCATCTGGCAATTATGCGCAAGCTGCTGGAGGCCGGTGCCGATGCGAATTTGCCGGACAACGACGGCCACACTGCCTTGATGATAGCTTCTTGCTTTGGATACATGTCGCTGGCAAATTTGCTGCTGGCCTCTGGTGCCCACACCAACTCAGCCGACAATGACGGTGTCACTTCATTGATGTTCGCATCTGCGCAAGGCCACTTGAAAGTTGTGCGTTTGCTGCTGAAAGCCGGCGCCGACAAGAACTTGACCAACAATGCCCGCAACACTGCACTGATGATGGCTTCGCTCGACTGTCACGTGAAAGCTGTGCGCTTGCTGCTGGAGGCGGGTGCCGACCAGACTGTAGCCGACATTGATGGCGACACTGCCCTCATGCAGGCCTCTGGAAAAGGCAATGTGGAAGTCGTACGTTTGCTTCTTGAAGCTGGTGCTGACAAGAACATATGCAACAACACCGGCAACACTGGCCTGATGCTAGCCTCCCAAGAAGGCCATGCGGAAGTCGTGCATTTGCTGTTGAGGGCTGGTGCCATCGCGAATTTGGGCGACACTGACGGAGACACCGCCCTCATGCTAGCTTCTCAGCAAGGCAATGTGGAAGCTGTACGTTTGCTTCTTGAAGCCGGTGCCGACAAGAACATGATCAACAACACCGGCAACACTGGCCTGATGCAAGCCTCCAAAGAAGGCCACGGAGAAGTTGTGCATTTGCTGTTGAAGGCTGGTGCCAGTTCGAGTTTTGGGGACCCTGACGGCGACACTGCCCTCTTGCTTGCTTGTCAACAAGGCAACGTGGAAGTCGTACGTTTGCTTCTTGAAGCTGGTGCTGACAAGAACATATGCAACAACACCGGCAACACTGGCCTGATGCTAGCCTCCCAAGAAGGCCATGCGGAAGTCGTGCGATTGCTGCTGAAGTTCGGTGCCGACAACACTTTGGCCAACATTCACGGAGACACCGCCCTCATGCTAGCTTCTCAGCAAGGCAATGTGGAAGTTGTACGTTTGCTTCTTGAAGCTGGTGCCGACAAGAACATGATCAACAACACCGGCAACACTGCCCTGATGCAAGCCTCTCAAGAAGGCCATGCGGAAGTCACGCGTTTGCTGTTGCGGGCTGGTGCCATCGCGAATTTGGGCGACGCTGACGGAGACACCGCCCTCATGCTAGCTTCTCAGCAAGGCAATGTGGAAGTTGTACGTTTGCTTCTTGAAGCTGGTGCCGACAAGAACATGATCAACAAAACCGGCAACACTGGCCTGATGCAAGCCTCCAAAGAAGGCCACGGGGAAGTTGTGCATTTGCTGTTGCGGGCTGGTGCCAGTTCGAGTTTTGGGGACGCTGACGGCGACACTGCCCTCTTGCTTGCTTGTCAACAAGGCAACGTGGAAGGTGTACGTCTGCTGCTTACAGCTGGTGCCGACAAGAACATATGGAACAACACCGGCAACACTGGCCTGATGCAAGCCTCCCGCGAAGGCCACGTGGACGTTGTGCAATTGCTGCTTGAAGCCGGTGCAGACCAGGATTTGACCAACACTGAGCAATTGACTGCAATGATGATGGCTTCCCTCCTTGGCCGCATGGAACTTCTGCGCATTCTGCTGAATGCCGGTGACGGTGCCAACAAGAATCGTGTCGACAGTGATGGCGACACTGCCCTCATGCAGGCTTCTGCAAAAGGCAATATGGAAGTCGTACGTTTGCTTCTTGAAGCTGGTGCCGACATGAACATGATCAACAACACCGGCAAAACTGGCCTGATGCTAGCCTCCCAAGAAGGCCATGCGGAAGTCACGCGTTTGCTGTTGAGGGCTGGTGCCATCGCGAATTTTGCCGACACTGACGGCGACACTGCCCTCTTGCTTGCTTGTCAACAAGGCAATGTGGAAGTTGTACACCTGCTGCTTACAGCTGGTGCCGACAAGAACATCATCAACAACACCCGCAACACTGGCCTGATGCTAGCCTCCCAAGAAGGCCATGCGGAAGTCGTGCGATTGCTGCTGAAGTTCGGTGCCGACAACACATTGGCCAACATTCACGGTGCCACAGCCCTCATACTTGCTTGGGAACGGGGCAGAGTGGAAATTCTGCATTTACTGGACCCCGGCACCGACGCGGACTTGACCAACAAGCGGCGACGCTGCCTAGACGATGATGTTTCGAAAAGGCAGCGCTCACGTTTTGCAAATTTAGATCCCGGAGCGTGCAATGACTTAACCAACGATGCCAGCGCCTGTGAAACATCGCTGAAGTTGCTTTGCCCTGCCACCTGGGTTTAGGGCCGATTGCTGATTGCCCTGTCAGTCGAGGGTCCAGGGCTGTGAAGGCATTGTTGCTGCTGCAGTGAATGACGAAGACAAGATTTGGAGTGTTGCGGTGCTTCGCCGCGGCTTCATCGGCAAGCACCAGTCGTAGAGTTGTTTAAGTCTGGCCGGGTTTTGCTTCGATTTCGGGCAATGGATCGTTCATGATCGTGCAATTGCAGGGGAGGGGTCAACAAATGGATGAACATCAAGACCAAAGAGAGGCAGTCCAGGACACCTTGCAGCGCAGATGTGTGTCAAAATCCTTGCCGTGAGGTTCAATGCTTTTGTTGATTGTGCAGCATAGCTCCTCCGGTTCGGTTGAACTTCATTGTTATTGCCTAGATGCGTGTCGGCTAGTCTTCTGTTGTGGCCCCGCCCTGCGTGATACTTCCAACGCCTATGCTGATTGCCTGCAGGCCTAAACAACAAGTCCTGTTTCGTCCTCCCCAGCTGGGCAGGTGTCTCCGCCACCTGCACTGGACGAAGATGCGAGGCTCCGACTCACCTAGCACTTTGCCGCGATCTGCGAATGCCTTTGGAGTCGATATGTCAGACTCTTACCACATCTAAGGGTCCACAAGGCAGGCCATTCAGAAAAACCAAACGACTCAACACCTGCTGAGACACATGCGGAGTCAGCAGCTGATCCGGCTCGGATCGAAACTACCAGATGAGGAACGAAATCATAGAGTCATAGAGAGACTTGCCACTGTGAATTTCATGATGCTACTGTATGCTTCCCGGATTGAACGATCTCGTACAGAGGGTTCGAGTTCCCGCTTTTGAAAACAGCCCACACGACAGGTCACGAGAATTTGCGGCCGGAGTCTGAACTTGACTGCCCAGTGCGAATGCAGAAGATGCTGCATAGCTTGGGAATTCCCGTGCTCAAACTGATACAATGTGCCGGCCCCACATCGCCGAAGTCTAGCCGCTGGAGGCCGTACCACCGCCAGCAGCAGCAGCAGCCAACAACACAGGGGTTGGATTACCGCATTATACGATTAGTGTATCCGACAAGGTCGTCAAATGCAACCCGAGACCCCACACTATGAGCCCCATCATGAATCCCAAGCCGACAATCTGAATCCGAACCCGAAACACTAACTCCAAATCCTCCTCCTACCACCCTATGCTCAGGTTTAGGGTTTAGGGTTTAGGGTTCAGAACCCTGCAACCCCCACCCGAAATCCAGCTACGGACTCCTCAGCAGGCAGGCGCTGCTCAGCCGCCTCGGCGACTTAGAGGCGCGGCATGCGGCAGAGCTCCGCGACCTGGAGGAGGACTCCGATGCCCAAAGTCGCCTCTGAACGCTTGGCCATATTCTAGCATTATGGTATATTTAGGTATATTATGGTGCATTATGGCAAAAACAGGTGCATTACAGTATTGTCGTACAGTATCAACAGGAACTAGATGTAAGTGTACATGGCTTAGACCCATAGACAGCAAATCCCTGCATACATCTGTTTTACATAGACATACTATGTATGCATCTGTAGAGACGTCGCGGACTTTGGTGCGTAAAGGGGTTTGCACAGGGCCTTTTACCATAATATACTTTAACATACCATGGTATACTATAATATGCTATAACTTTCATGATATACCTTAATATACCGTAATAGACTATAATATCCTATAATATACCACAGTATACCATAGTATACCCTAATATACCATAGCATACTATCCTACAATATACCATAGTATGCAATAATATACTTTAATATACCATAGCATACTGTAGTATCCTTGTACCATAGTATGCAATAATGTGCTTTAATATACCATAGTATACGAGGAGATCCTAAACCCTAAACCCTAAACCGTGGACGGATGTCAAAAGCTCGAGGCCCGAGCTCCAGGGGTCTGGCGCCGCCGTCGCAGAAATTGGGAAAATCCTTGGGTCAGATGGCTCTACCCATGGGCCCCATAGTAGTTCCTTTGTGGGGGTTCATATTTAGAATCCTGTAAGGTAACCCCAAAAGGAACTACTATGGGGCCTATGGGTAGAGAGTTTAGAGGTTCAAAAACGGTTTACTGGGGTTTTAGAGGGGTTTCTATGGGGTCCAAGAAGCTTAAGGCCCCCATTCAGGAAGTCGAAAGCGTTGGAAGCCCGGAAGCGCAAAAAGCATCAGAGGAGCTAGCCAAGCTGGAGCCTGCAGCAGAGGCCATGCCGGAGGCCAGCAGGGCCCCTTTCCTTCCCCCATGCAGTAGCTGAGTTCGTGTCATCTCTCTATCGTTGAGTGCTGACGGTTGGGCTGGCATAGTCTGCCGAGTCGTGCTCGGCGATGAAGGATGGAAAATGCAGGAGGAGAAGATTCCGATAGCCGTGAAGGAAGCGGTGGTGATGATGATCATGGTGACTGATGGTGCTGGTGTTGTTGCTATGGCGATGACAGCACTTGTGACAGCTGAATCATTGCTGCCATCAGCATTGTCAAAATCATCACCACCACCACCACCATCATGATCAGCAGCATCAACATTTCGTTCGCAGTCCGCGGTCATGATAATCCTCATTGCTGTCCTCATCTCATCCTCCATAGCATTGGCTTCGATTTGGTGGGGATTCCCGGATATGGCATTCTGCGAACGCGGCAAAAAGTATTGCTTCAGCTTTTGGCTGCTGCGCAGGCGGGCTATGCCAAGGCCAAGAGCAAAAAGATGCTAGGTCGCAAGCAATGGGATATCGGATATCAAATATCAATGGTACTGCCTAAACCCTAAACCCTAAACCCTAAATGGGTGGTTTCTTTCAGCAGATGTGCGGCATTCTGAATCCAGCCGGAGGTTCGAAGCTGCCCCAGCGACCCACCCAGGCAAGGTTCCGGGAACCCCTTGAAGCAGGTTGTGTTTGGGTTCCTGGGTTTTGGGGTTCAATTAGGGTTTAGATTTTTGGGGTTTAGGGTTTAGGTTCTTGGGGTTTAGCGTTTAGGTTCTTGGGGTTTGGGATGTAGGGTTTGTCATAGAATCTTAAGACACCCGCCCTCCCCCTCCACCGAAGAACCCCCACATTAAAAAAGAAGACCTCGTCAGTCATGGTTTTCAAGGAGAGTCGGCAGGGAGCTTATTTATTAGCAACCAATCAGCCCTATGAAAAGCTAATAAAGGCTATTAGGACTTAATAGTGCTTATTTGTCTTGCGTGTTGCTTGAGGCCGGAAACTCCCTTATTGAAGATTATTAGCGGCATAATTCTTGGGGTTTGGGGTTTAGGTTCTTGGGGTTTAGCGCTCAGGGTTTAGGGTTTATGGGCTTCTTGTTATCAAGCAGGCCCAGAACAACCCCGGCGCATTCAGGACTCTCACCCTAAACCCTAAACCCCAAGCTCAAAACCCCACGCCTCCATCCGCAGTATCCTCCTGAAAGGAGTGTGCAAGCTGTGCATGTTTGCCTGTCTATCTGAGGAAAGGTGATTCCCCCGAGATGATCGCCTTTAAGCAGGAGGGGTCCTGCATGCCTCTTTCAGCCAGCGCGCTGTGCATGCCGAGTCTGGTGTCAGGAAAAGCGCCGACGACAAAAAGAGCTGAAGGGCAGGCCCCCTTGTCTCCGGTTCTGTACCATTTAGCAGCGGCAGTGGTGCAGGAGCAGCAGTCTTCGTGGCCATTGTATCTGAGCAGTTGTCGTCGTCGTCGTCGTCGAAGTAGCATTGGTGGTGGGGTGGTTGTCGCAGTAGTAGTGGTAGTGGTGGTAGTGGTAGCGTTGGGAGTGTTAGTGGTAGTAGCAGTAGCAAAGCAGAAGCAGTAGTAGTAGTAGTAGTAGTAGTAGTAGTAGTAGTACTACTACTACTACTACTACTACTACTACTAGTACCAGTAGTACTAGTAGTGCTAGTAGTAC